TTCCTTTTTTCAACAACTGGGATCTCTCTACATAACCCTGGCTGTGCTGGGATTAAAGGTGTGCACCACCATGCCCTGCCCAAGTATGCATGTTGTGGCTTTATTCGGGTATGTTCATTTACCGTCTGAAACGAGTATGTTCATTTACCGTCTGAAACGAGGGTAGGGAATATCTTCTAGCCTTTCTCTATCAACTGGCCTTGTTCACACACCGATCTCTAGCCTCCAGTTTCCTGCTCCCTTGCCCAAGACTTAAGCTTACTTCTTGCTGTCCGTTTAAACCCAAATCTCACGTCAGTACCTTGACATGAATCTGCAGCATCACCCAACCTCCTCGGTAGTTCTCTTCCCGGTGTGGTTCTTATAGGAGCCTGCCATAGCAGTTAACCCCAGAGTCTCTGTTCAGTGTTTGAAATCCTATTGGGGTACATCCACCCCCTACAACTGTGGCTGGCAGCCTTGCTACATTGTAACAACAAGGCTGTATAGCCCAGCCACCCATCCATACAAACATGCTGCCTTGTGCTTGGGGCCAAGGCTGACTCCTTTCCATGACATTTTTATGGTAGCTGGTAAAGGTTATTTGTCTTTTCCATTTTAGGAAAATATACCCTGATGCTTATGGCCCTATCTCTAAAGTCCTGTAAGTAATCCCAGTATCAAAGTCAAAGAAGTCATGATTTGAGTCCATCCGATATCATCAGCGTCAGTCTAAGTCAGGACAAAAAGACAAAAACACAACAACACACAGACACACAGGGCAAGGAACAGACAAATCCTCTTGGTGCCAAACCAAACCAAAGCCAACAGCCTCAAGCTGTTTTGCAGGTGCGACCCGCCCGTCTATCTACCAAACTGAGACGCGCATCCCGTATGTCTCTCTATAGAACTGAGACCGCTACCTGAGTCTCCCTACAGAAACCGGAGGGAACCACTCTTTCTGCAGAAGGATCCAGGCACCCCACCTGTGATCTTTTAGCATGTCCACCTAGATCGTCTACAGGCTCTTACGGTTCCTGGGCCTGCTTACAGAAAGACATGAGACAGACATGAGACATGAAGCAAAACACAGAAAACTTATGGGCCGGTTGAAGGTTCTATAGGTGGTGGTCCCAGTGGGCTTGGGGGATCCGGGACAAGCTTATCATCTGGAGAGGTTAGCAGTCTTTCCCCCCATGCTGCATACCACCCTGCCCACCCCCCATGGACGAGTTCCCTCTGCCCGTCTTGGGGGCTGCGCATCTCTCCGTGGGTCAAGGACTCTGGCTATAGGTGTTACTGAAATGGCCATGTTGTCACACTACAGCCAGACTTCCCTCCACCAGAGCTGCTTTGATCATTCAGACCCAATGCATTATAAATATCTATCATCATTTATAGGGGCTGGTTACAACTTATTATGCGTTGGTAAATAAAAAAACTACTGTTTGTTTCAGATGTTTCATGCTGGTACAGAATTTTGTATGATTGTAGTAAGGAAGGCTGCTTGTTGGCTCCTGGATGCCTGGCTACCTTAAACCCAAAATAATCACACAGAAACTGTAATAATTAAATCACTGCTTGACCCATTAACTCTAGCTTTGTATTGTCTAACTCTTATATTAATTTAACCCATTTCTATTAATCTGTATATTGCCACGTGGCTGTAGCTTACCAGGTAAAGTTCCCAGAGTCTGTCTTCGGCAACTCCATGGCTTCTCTCTGACTCCGCCTTCCTTCTCCCATGATGTAGGCCAACCCAGTTTCTTTATTCATTAACCAATAAAAGCAGCACATAGACAGAAGGACCTCCCACACCATATGCTATAAATTTAAAGTTATTTTTGTTATAATATGTGCATGTTTCTGTTCTTGTTTAAAATATTGTAGCCATGCAATATATTATGCACCACTGAGGGAAACCACAAGAAAGACTTCAGTAAGAGTTTTTATGTTATCTGAAAAACAAAACAAAAAAAAAAAGACTTTGGTATGTTGTCTGTAAAGTGAGGGGAAAAGCAGGAGACTAAAAAAATAGAGAAAAAACAGATTAACAGTATATAAAAATTATAAAAAGTCAAAAGGGGATGTGAACTATGTTTTCTGTGGTTTCTCATATATGCAAATACTGAATATGCTTATTTTGCTAAAAAGTTTGTCTATGTAAGTTTTCTTACATAGAGTTGAGACAGAAGTGGCCTGGCTAATTTTGCTGTCTCTGCCACCCATCACTGCTGTGGCCACATTTATGGGCCTGACTTCAGAATTTATCTCTGAGCTCTGGTTACTGAATTTGAGTTAGCAGAAATTCAGATGATTTTTTTTTTGTATAGATAATGTGAAAACTGTCTTGTTTATGTGAACATTCTGTAGCTTCAGATTTATAAGTTTATTTTGTTAAATATGGTCAAAAATCTGTTAAAATTTATATAAAACTAGTCAAAAGTTAACTAGTAACACTAGAAATTGATAACTTAAAATCTATGAATGGGTAATTTTAAAGAAATCATAAGGCATGATTCCATTTTAAATTTTGGATTGCCATTTTTCTAGGGTTAAAAAAAATGGATGCCGGGGGCAAAAAAAAAATGGATGCCACACGATTTCACTGCCATCTTGATTAAGATTTCTTAGGCCCATGTGGAGTGGAATGGGCCTAACAAATCTCCAAGATAGTTTGGATTGGGATAGATTTGTGCATGATGACTCATGTCCCTTTCTAAAAACAAGGTTTTATACACACACACACACACACACACACACACACACATATATATACATATATATATATATAGTTTAAAGTATTAAAACTATACCTTAATGTTTTTATACTCAAATGTACCTAGCTCTGCCAGCTAGACTTTGTTAATTTAATCTTCCAGGTGATAATGGTTATAAAGACATAAAAGGATCCTAGGAAACAGCTGAAATTTATAAATGTATGGCAGGACTAGAGTCCCAAAGAATGTGCGGTTGCAACAATGGACCGTAACAGTTTTAGAAATGCCAGTGCCAGGTGATAGTCACCAGGAATACCAGCTACAGTGAAATGGAGCAGGCTGAGATCTAAAGGACAGGCTATGTGCATGCTGTCGAGTGTGGAACCAAAGAAGTACTTTATTTTTGATTTTGCAGGAAAACATTTAAGAGATTTTAATTGTTTAAAAAATTAATAAATTTATGAGGCTGTGGGACATCGGTGCTTATAAAATGTTTTATATTGCTAATGTTTGAACTGAAAATAAGAGACTAAAAATTAGGGTCAGAGCCATAAGCACCAAAAGCTAACCAGAAATGGAAATGTTCATTTGTTGTGATGCAGAAGACAATGACCTAAACAGTTTGATAGAGGGCTTGGAACAGCATCCAAGCTTATAAATCTCAATCTTTTGGGGGTTGTTGTTCAGGGGTAGTCTAGGACCACGTGCATGTCAGATGTTTGGATTGAGATTCTCAACATAGGCAAAACTGAAGTTGTAAAATAACAATGGGAAAAATCCTTAGTGGGAGTATCACTATAACATGGAAAACTATCTTAAAAGGTCATAGCATTAAAAATATTAACTAATGGTTTAAAAATGTGTTTCCTTGTTCAAGGTCTATCCAGGCTTAAAAATGTACGTGTAGCTTCCTTGTCTTTGCTAACTTTGTTGGGTTTAAGCTATTTGGGTAAACTGAGTCATAAAGTTTTGTATTGATACTAAGGGATTTGGACCTCCCTTTCTGGGGAAAGAATGTTGTCTCCAGGGTAATTAGAGATTCAATGGCCTTGTTAATGATAAAGAACAGAATTCTCATGCAAAAGCTGGATGGTATAAAAACTTGTTCAACTGGTCTCCTTGGTTAATTCGAGAATGGGTCAATACTGTTTGACTGATGGCATTGAGGTCCCAGTATCGCCTCCTGAGCTCCTGGACAGACAGGACCCATGATTGAGTCCTGTCATCGGCACTTGTGAAGCGGGAAAGATGTCGGGCCCAGGGCTGCCTTCCCAGGGCAACTTGGTACACACCTACCAAGATGGGGTCTATAGATCAGCAGGGAAATAGACCTGAGTCTCAGTTTACCCTAGGGCAATGCTAGCTCTTAGCCTCCTCTCCTGCTCCCATTTCACCCTGGGACCTTTTCTTTGCCTTAGCGGGAGACAGCATTAACAACTAGATACAAACTTGTTCTGTGTTTACCCTCGGAATGACTAATTCAGTTTCTTTATTAGCTTTATTTCAAAATCATTACAGAGTGTGGAGTTCTAGTCTTGTGAAAGCTGCTGACTTACTATACACTGTTAGGAAACAGAAGTTAGTCATCCTTAAAGTACTGATATAATTAATTACAAGAATAAGCCTTATTTAAATCCTTTTTTTTCTTTCTTTCTTTTTTTTTTTTTTTTTTGGTTTTTTCGAGACAGGGTTTCTCTGTGGCTTTGGAGCCTGTCCTGGAACTAGCGCTGTAGACCAGGCTGGTCTCGAACTCACAGAGATCCGCCTGCCTCTGCCTCCCGAGTGCTGGGATTAAAGGTGTGCACTACCATCGCCCAGCCTTATTTAGATCCTTGTATGTGTTTTCAAAGTCAAACTTGTACTTCAGATATCTGCAGAATATGGCATTTAAAATAATGCTTAAAACGCTTATTATATTAGACAGAGACTCCAAGATCCTAGCAGTAACCCAAGGTCTCCAAAGAAGATTATGGGACGACATGATGTCTCCACCTGGATTACAATGACGCTGACCACTTGGCGAGATGCCCCAGAGCCACACCTGCTACCAGGACCCGGTCCAGACTGTGGACAAACAGTAGGACCTTGGAAAATTGATTGCACCACTTTTGCCTGGACAAAATAAGGTCAGCCGGGTGATGGTGGGGCACAACTTTAATCCCAGCACTCGGGAGGCAGAGGCAGGCGGGTCTCTGTGAGTTCGAGGCCAGCCTGGTCTACAAGAACTAGTTCCAGGACAGGCTCCAAAGCCACAGAGAAACCCTGTCTCGAAAAACAAACAAAAAAAAATAAGGTCAGACTTTTCCATGACCCCCTCTTCCATAGGAAAGGAAATCACCTTATGGCCCTCGCTAAGACTGTAAGACTGCTGTTCTCGATACTTCTGCCTCCAATGTTATGGAGACCTGGGTATGACTACCTACCTGTATATGGACTCTGGTCCCTGTCAATTTTAATAGATTCGGAAACTACTTGGTCTATACACAGATATACTTTATTTATCCCTCTGGGGTCTCTGATAGTATTGATGACTAGGGCAGTTTTAATGTCAGTTTAGCAGCAAAAGGTATCCAGATCCTCCCACAAAGCTACTGCCAGCTCGTTAGTTCATTCTAAAACTACTAGATCTCTTTAAAAAATGTTTTAAGGTCTGAGGATATAAAAGTTCATAAGCTTTGAGGGTCTAAAAGAAATGACTTAAGATGTAAATACAGGTTAAGATATAGAAAATGTTTTTAATTTCTTCCCCCCTCTATGGCGTTGTTCTAATAAGCTTAACTATTTACTGTTTGGGTCACAAGCTCAAGATTTTAGATTTATTCTACTTGCCATTTAAATATAAACTAAAGGTATTTCTCATCAGGCCAAAAGCATCTCTGTCTAAACCATACATGGTTCTCTGTATAAATGCTTCTAACCAAAATCTGTAATTTTTGCTAGGACTCAAAGGTATAAGTCTATTTTTTCTTTTTACAGATCCCTGTTATCTGTTCTTTTTCTACAATATGATTTTTTCTTTAAGTACATAAATTTTAACTTCTGTTCCTAGTTTCCACTTGGCTGGCAGATGCATCTAAGCATTAGTTGCTGACTACAACCTGCTCTAAATGGTGGCGAGGGGCTGCAGGCCACGAGGAGCCACACGGCAGGTCAGAGACCTCGGCAGGTCAGCTGGTCCCACAAGGAGCTGCGGCAGGTGAGAGACAGAGACAGGCATGCCATGCAGAGAAAGTGGGTATTTATTTAGTGTTATGGATGGGAAAGTGGGGGAAAGAGAGGCAGGGGCGGGGGTAAGAGGAGAGGAGCAAGGGCAGCAGCTATATCTTCAGAAGAGAGAAGGAAAGGAAGAGAGCTGGCAGGCTGGAAGCAAAAGGAAGATGTGCTTGCCTTGGTGGACTTGGTGAACAAGGGAGGGAGTGGGCAGGGCTTGTCTCTTAAAGGGACAGGACAGACCATTACAGAATAGAGGTGAAAAGCTCCAAGGCAAAATATAAATGAAAAGAAACAGGTTAGATTAAGTTATCAGAGTTAGTGGGACAAGCATAAGCTAAGGCCTAGCATTCAAAACTAATATTAAGTCTCCATTTCTTTATTTGGGAGCTGGGGGGTGGCCAAAAAGAAAGCCTGCTACAGTCTATGGCTCTCAGAGCTGTGCCATGGGGGTGGGGGGGGGCGCTCAGAGGGGAAGGGGCATGTAAGTAGTTGTCAGAAAGCAGTCTCTACTACCCCAGAGGGAGAGCCCTTAGAGGACTTGTGGTCAGCAATCAGCAAGGGCTAAGACAGCTAATGACTACAGCCAGAGGCTCCCTGCCCTGGAAACAAACACACCCAGCCTCAGGAGCTTGGAGACCCCACAGGGAACCTCCAGGAGCTATCTTCCAGCTTGAGACTTTGGACAAGTTCTGGAAACCCTTCATTAGTCAGCTAGAAAGATCAAACCACTCGGTGCCTCTCTCTCCCATCCCAAATAACACTGCATGTCAAGCACCCACCATGAAGCTCTCATCAAAGAGATCGCTACTCCTGGGGGAAGTGGGGGTGGCTATGGTTAAAGTACAGTATATACATGTACGACATTCTCGAAGAATAAATCAAATTCTTTCATTAAAGAAATAGAAGAAATCTCAAATGACTCAGTGGGGAGGAGGCACAACATTCCATCCCTGGGGTCCAGAGGAATGCTTCTATCCTCATGTCTGTCTGCCTCTGACTACGGAACAGCACTCTAGAGAGCCCTTTAGTGGTATATAGGCTGTCTTGGCTGACCTCATTCTGGACCTCAGTTTCCCCATCTTTGTGTATGGTGGGTGATACTCTCTGGAGGGGTTAGGCCTGGGACAGAGTCTGCATGCGCTGATCCAGGCCCACACAAACAAGTATGGGGAGACGTGAGTGTGGGGATGGCCCAGAGTCTAGGCAGGCTCCCTGGGGCTGTGCACTTCCCGCTTCCCTTTGCAGCTCTGCACCGAGGCCTTTGGGATATTTTTAGGAAGCTCTGTCACCTTCCAGGTTGATTCCTTAATGCTAACGCTGACAAAGTTGTGGGGAAGCTGAGTTGCTGATCTGGAGCTGCAGTGCACTCACCAGGGAGCGAATGGGGGAAGGGTGTCAAAGGCAGAAAAAGTGTCTTCCTGCTCTTGCTCACACATCATTCATCAGGGCCCTCATCAGGGCCCGTCCAACAGCCCAGGAACGGGGACTTCTACCCACACACACTAAGCCGGTCTCAGAGGGTATCAGCGGGGTGTCCGCTAACTCAATTCAGTTCGGGTGCCTTCTACCTGCAGATAGCGGCTGTCTATTCACCCCACAGGCTGAGGGCTCAGTCCCAGGACTTTTCCCCCACTCAGGGTGCCAATCGTAAGCCCTAGGGTGGTAGCATGCGCTTCCTCCAATGAAGCATAAATCAGGGATTCTCACAGCTCCTGCCCCGTGTTCAATTAATTTGCTAAAATAGCTTACAGAACTCGGGGAAACACTTCATTTAGGTGTGCTCATTTATTATAGAGGATCAGTGAAGGATTCAAATGAAAGACCAGATGAGAGAGATGAATAAGGCAAGATCAGAAATAGGGAACATCTTAAGTGTGTGTGTGTGTAAAATTGCATACACTGTATTTTAATCGTATCAAGCCTCTACCTTTTTTACTCCTCCCAGATCCATCCTCACCTCCTTACCCCCTTCCCCTTCACATCCTTTAATTTTTATAGCTCATCAAGTCCAGTTTGTGCTCATGTGTGGTGGGGGGGGGCATCCACTGGAGCATGGTCAACCTTCCCCAAGCTATTCCTTTAAAAACCATCTGTCCTGCCCCTAGAAGCAACCAGTGTCGATTGCTGGTCAGTGACAGGCGTGGGCTCGTGTAGAACGTTGGCTAATCGTGTACTCATCTCATGTGACCCACAGGTGCCGTGAGCTCACGAGGGTAGCAGTCCTGATGTGTCCAGGAGGCCCTGCTTCTCTCCAGTGCTCGCCAGTCTCTGGTTCTTACAATCCTTGCTCCCAACTCCTTGAGCCTTGGAGAGGTGAGAGATAGATGTCCATTTGTGGTTGAGCACTGGGGGGAGGGGGGCTGCTACTTCTTCCCTGGTCATCCATCCCTGCTCCACCCCCAGCCTTCCCTGTGACTGGCAATCTGGAAGCCTCCTGAACCTGGCTCATCTGGGTCCCTTGGAGGCTTTGGTAGGTGGTATAACTGGTTAAATCATTAGCCATCAGAAATCAACTCGACCTTCAGCTCCTCTGTCTTCCCCAGAGCTTGGGGTCAGTCCTCTGTCACTAGAGTCTTGGCTGGTGATGGCTTCCACCCTGACTGTCTAGGGAGCAGTCACCTGTCATGTCATTAGTGTACAAAGACGTTCTATCACTCTGGAGATACTAAAGGTTTTCTGAATTGTGTGCCAGGTAAAGAGACAAAAATACATCTATTTCTTCTTACGTCATGATGTCACAGCAGAAGCCCGGGGAGTTTGCTTGCAGAGTGAGATACTTGGTGTGCTGGGTGAGACTAGTTGACTGTTACAGAGCAGGATTTCCTCAAAGTGTCCTGGAAGGATGCTCTTGTACATGTATGTATGCATAATACACGGGAAGCCAATGGTGGCATGGGACGTCAGATATGTTTTGGGATTTTTTTTTCTCTCTATTCCAGTAAGTACCTACTGTGCTCTGCTATGCTCAGGCCGTGTGTCATGAAGCTCGCTTCTTTGGGGGAGGGGTGTAGACAGTCTCATAGTCCAGGCTGGCTGTGTAGCCAAGGATGGTTTTGAACCTCAGATCCCCTTTCTACCTTCCAAGTGCTGAGATTAGAGACAAGCAGCACCATACCTGGTTTTTGAGGTACTGGGCATCTAGCCCAGAGCCCAGGAGAGCTCATGACTAACTTCACGACACCCTCAGGCCAGGGCCCATAGATTTACCACTCTTGACCCAGCTATTCATTCTGCAGATGTGTGCCAAGTACCTGCTCTGTGCGTTCCCTGAACCGTGTACTGGGAACGGAGATGAACCAGACAGATGCCTGCCCTTGGGGCCTGGAGTGGCAGAACTGAGGGGGTAACAAAGAATTAGGGCATGCTAAATAGTGTTGACTGAGGTTTTTGTTCTGCCTGGTTCCCGCAGTTGTTAAGTTCCAAAGAAATCACACAGAGATCTACATTAGTTATAAATTAATTGGCCTAGTAGCTCAGACTTCTTACTAACTCTAATAACTTATATTAGCCCATTATTCTTGTCTATGTTAGCCATGTGGCTCGGTACCTTATTTGGTGAGGCAGTCACATCTTGCTTCTTCTGTGGCTGTGCGGACTATGTCCTCTTCCCAGAATTCTCCTGTTCTCATTGTCCTGCCTCTACTTTCTGCCTGGTCACCCCGCCTATACTTCCTGCCTGGCTACTGGCCAATCAGCATTTATTTAAAGTATGATTGACAGGATACAGAACGTTGTCCCACAGCAAAATAGAAGCATAAACAGTGTCACGAAACAAGTGAGGCCAGAGGAGGCCAGTGGATAAGTCCCTACCTGGAGACACCTGAGTATGGGGAGTGGATTTTTGACTGTTGTCTTGTTCTCTGCTGCCTACCCCATCAGCTTTCATCCCACGAAGACCAAAGAGTCCTCAGACCCTGACACCACTAATGATGCTCTAGCCTCTTTCTCATCCCATCCCTATCCCATCACTTGCCTTCACTGCTGTTCTCAGCAGCCAGTCCCCAGGAAAACAGTGAGGAAGAAGAAAACTATGACTGTGCTACCTGCCATGGGCACCACAATGAGGACTGCAGGAGGAAGCTGGGCCAGGACCTGACACCAGCACTTTCTGCTGAGTGACCTTGAGTAAGGCCCCTGACCACCGCCACTTCTCTGGACCCAAGTCTCCTCCTTCCATCAGTCAACAGGAAGTGAGCAAAGATAGTGACGCAGAGTGAGTTCCGGAACAGCCAGAGCTACATAGTGGGACCCTGTCTTGAAAAAACAAAAAGCAGAAAAAGAAGAGTATATGTGTATCTATGACTTTTCTCCTGCCTGTCTTGCAGTTAACATAAATAGAGGTTGGGAAACGCCAACACAGTTATGATTCCTGCTGGACACAGCCGTGGGGGACTCTCAGCAAGAACAGAGCGGTTACCTCCTTGGGAATCCCACCTGGCAGAGGACCCTGTAGCTTCACCCAGCCTCCCCTTCTGCAAAATTCTTTGGATGGGGTGTCCAAGGAGGCTTCACCCATTATCCCCTTGGGCAAGGTTATTGACTGGGGTGAGCTACTGCAGCCAAACCAAGACTAGGGAGAGGAGAGGCGAACAGATCTTCTGACCTGGGTATGGCCTTGAGTTCTGTCACATGCTTACCCACGGATGGGGTGGGAGACAGGCCATCTTCTGACTGTAAGCCCTGGGACCCTTGCCCCAGAGAAACCTTGGAGCCACCTTCTTTATCAACTTGTCCTGGCCTTTACTCGTATTTGAGACACAGACACCAAAACCTATGAGTTCTGTGGCTTCTTCCAGCCCCATAGCTGCCAGGCCCCAGGTGAGAAGCAGGATTGTGTCACAGGCAGCTGTCCACGTGTGAGCTGACTTAGGTGGGGCCCCACCCCAGCCCAGACCGAGATTCTCACTTCCAAGAATCCTGAGATTCAGGGTCTAACGTTTCTCCTTCCCGCAAATGACCTTCTAGACGCCCCCTGCCAACCTTCCAGGAGTTTATTCGCAGTTTAAAACTGTGGTGTGGGGGCTGGAGACGTGGCTCAGTGGTTAAGAGCATTGCCTGCTCTTCCAAAGGTCCTGAGTTCAATTCCCAGCAACCACATGGTGGCTCACAACCATCTGGAATGAGGTCTGGTGCCCTCTTCTGGCCTGCAGACATACACACATTGTATAAATAAATAAATAAATAAATAAATAAATAAATAAATAAATAAATTTAAAAAAATAAAACTGTGATGTGGAGCTCAGTTACGAGAGGGACAGGGGCCTCCAAGGTAGAAGACTGCAGGCTGGAGAGGAAGTCAGCACAGGACCTGAGCAAAGTTTGAAGCAGAGACCCGAAACAGGTACAGCTCATTAACCATCACATGCCCAGAGAGATGCTAAAAAGAGGACCTGGTTCTTCTACCTTTGAGTGCTTAGCAAGGCAGACCCAGTGATGATGGATGTAGGCTTAGGCCTCATGTATGCAGGCTGGTGGAGGAACCAAGGACTGAATCCAGCCTGCTCAGGAGGGCAGGCAGGGTGGGTCCTGGGGGAGGAGGCTTTCAGGTCACTGGTCTTCTGGAAGGAACACAGGGATAAGTTGTGGTGGGAAGGTAGCCGCTCCCACTCCTGATCCAGTTCCCACATCAACAAAAAAGATCAGCTAACACAGCTCCAAGCTTATAATAAGAGTCCTTTCTGCATGGCTCCTCTCCAGTTCTGCTCTTTCCCAACCCGGATGACGATGGAGCAGACATCCACGGACTCTGAACCTTTCCACTCTTCCTTACACTCCAAGAGCCCAGGATACCTTCAGATCTGCGTCTGCACCTAGGAAGCCCCACTGTGACTCCCAGGATACACCTGGACACACCACCCCCACTTACTCTACTCATAACATCTCCAGTCAGCCCCATCTGTGGACCTGAACTGCTGGCTGCTAAAATGGCCAGAGGCTCGCCAGCAAAGAAGCCCTTTCCTCCTGCAAGCCTGTCTCCTGAGGACACATCCAGTGACTATTCCAGAGTATGTCACTGCAAAACACGAGCCCCGTGCTATTTGCCCGAGTGTCTTTCCTGCCCCTTGTGGATTTGCCTTCTCTTCAAAGGTAGGACTCTTCACAATCCCTTACCCCACTGACTGACCTACCCCTCACTCAGGTTTCTGAAAAGGGTTACTGGGTGGCAGAGAATCGTTGCTGCCCACTGCCTGAGCCAAGACCATTGAGCTATGCCCCATCTCCAAAGAAGCCCAATAAGATAGGTTACATATGGACGAGAAACAAGGAAACTGAGGCACCAAATGGACAGAACAGAGATAAGAGAAACTTCAAGGGGTTCAGAACAGTCCCCTGAAGCTCAGGTAGTTGTTTCCCCAGGCACATCCAACCTTTTGACATTGAGAGACAGCGTTGCCATCTACAAAGTTCTTGCTTAAAAACCTCACAATTGAGCTGGAGAGATGGCTCAGTGGTTAAGAGCATTGCCTGCTCTTCCAAAGGTCCTGAGTTCAATTCCCAGCAACCACATGGTGGCTCACAACCATCTGTAATGACGTCTGGTGCCCTCTTCTGGCCTGCAGACATATACACAGACAGAATATTGTATACACAATAAATAAATAAATATTTTTAAAAAAACCTCACAATTGAGTTACAAAACTACACTGTAAAAAGCCTCTAGAGCCGAGCCTTGGTGGTGTTCACCTTTAACCCCAGCACCTGGGAGGCAGGTGCAGGTGGATCTCTGTGAGTTTGAGGCCAGTCTGGTCTACAGAGTGAGTTTTAGAACAGCCGGGACTACACACACACACACATACACACACACACACACACACACACACACACACACACCTCCTCTATAATGTCTTTTGGGAAATGAAGAGGACTACAGGGGTCCCCTTACCTGAAGTTTTATCTCCAGGCCTCAATTACTGTACAACTACAGTCCAAAAATATTAAATAAGAAATCCAAGAAAGACTTCATAATTACTAAATAAAATTATATCACAGCAATCCAACTCCTTCCTACTAATTGCTGTTAATCGCTTATGATGTCTAATTTCATCAGTTAATTTTATCACAGGAATGCATGTGTGGGGAAAAACAGCCTTTTTAGGGCACAGTACTAGCGATGGCTTCAAGGCATCCACTAGGGACCTCAGAACACAGCACACATGGACAAGGAGAGGTACTGACTGCACACTGACCTGGTAGCTAGAGAAGAGCCCAGGAAAGGCAGCCTGAAGGGGTCCCAGGAGAGGTCAGTGGTGAAGACCCTCCACAGAAAGTCAGGCCAAGGAGCCTTGTGCTCACCATCAAGAGTCCTAGAAAAAGTTAAAAAAAAAAAGAGCGGCTCTGGTTGAAAGACAATGGCCTTCATCTGAAAGGAGCAACCCTGAAGTATCTTTATAAAATACCAAGCAGTTCAATAATAGCATCTCAGCTTCCAGGGAACAGATCTCAGGCTCCCTTCAAGGAGTAGGAATCGAAACACGGGTGTTTCTTTCTTTCTTTTTTTTTTTTTTTTACAACACAGGTGTTTCTAAAAAGACCTTGGATGTGTTTACCAGCTATGTGAGTGTACACTAGAAGTGTGTGTCAGAGTAAACCTAGATGTTATTGTTCTCCATAGATCGCTTGCATTTTCATTGTTATTTTTTATTTTTATTTTTTGCAGATCTTGTGAACCAAGCACTGAGCTGTTCACAAGGGCGTTGTCTAATGGATGGCCTTGGTAGATTCAGTTGTCTCTCTCCTAAGTGAAGCGCAGGCCTGCTTCCGGCTTTAAAGTGTACTCTGGTGCCTCCCGTATATGGTAAGTCAGTTGTCATCCAACCCTCTTGACATCACTGTGTGGGAGTTAGCAGTGGCAGCGGAGTGCTGGTACTGTGGCTGTTGAGACTTCTGTGAATGTTAAACTGTCCTTCATCTCAGGGCGAGGGACCATATGTCCGCTGCCAGTATTCTCAAACCCAGGAAGGTAATTAGGAAGGATCTTAAACCATCTTCTATTCGCCAATCTTTGACAATGTATTTATCACCGTGTGTTTCAGTGGCCCTGGCCTTAACCCCATTTGTATGTGTGTGCACCAATTAGAGGTAATGGTGTCTGGAGGTATTTCAGAGTTGGTACACATTGGAAAATCTGTTCCTGGAGCCAGGCAGTGGTGGTGCATGTCTTTAATCAAAGCACTCGGGAGGCAGAGGCAGGTGGATCTCTGTGAGTTCGAGGCCAACCAGGTCTACAAGAGCTAGCTCCAGGAGAAGCTACAGAGTAACACTGTCTCTAAAAGAAAAAAGAAAGAAACAAAATCTGTTCTTGGCATGTGTGAGTCTGTATGAGAAACGGAACCAGCTCTCCTTACTGAAGAAACCTCTCTCAAGGAAGAGAGAGGGACCAAGAAACCAGGAAAGACAGACGCCCCACTCATGAACGAGCTGTCTGGGCCTGTGAGGCCTCAGGATGCTCTGCTGAGTCCAGAAGAGCTAGACTGGAGGTGTGAGGAGGAGGAAGCCGGCAGAAATCCATCAGAAGTAGAATGCTTCTGCTTTATGAAATGAAACTCCTTTCCCACCCCATCTCCAACTCACCCAGTGCCCAGTTCTAGGTCCTCCTCTCCAGTCTGTGGCATACCCACTGGCTCTTCTCACTCAAGAAAACTGGGTGGGGCCAGTATAGGAGTGTGCCATCCCCGAGGTGGCTACATCAGCCTCTGAGTGCTCAGCCCACTCCACTTTTTTTTTCTGACTTTCCAGACAATGCCAGTTTGAAAGCAGAGGACTGAGGACCAGGGACGCTTCACCTCTGATGCCAGTTCACATAGAGACAGAGTCCAGTGAGGCTTGGGCTGGGGGCTGGGAAGAGAGAACCGCTTACAGAAAGAGCAGCCTGGCTTCCAGGTGCTGACAGTGCCGCAGAGAACCGCCAAGGCCCCTGAAGAGGAAGCGGAGGCCGTGCTGAGGGAGACTGGGCAAAGAGGGAGTGGATCAGGCATCTGCTCCCTGCAGTCCTGCTGTGGGTTAGATAAACGCTCCTCTCCTCCGCCGTCTACATGGGAAAGGCTTGGTGCCCAGGGTGGCAAATAGTGAAATATTTGAGAAGAGGGGTCTATGCAAGGGCCTTAGATCACTGCGGCATGCCCGTGACGGGGATCGTGGAGTGCCAGTTTTGTCTCTTTGGGCTTCCCGTCTCACGAAGAAAGGAGTGTCCTTTATTGCTCACGTCTGCAATGCGCTATTCCAAAGAATCTGGGGCTGAGAACCACAGAACTGCTAACTGTTTTAGACCTTCCCGTTGGTGTGTTAGCCGCCTCATTCAGTTCAATACGGTCACGTGACTGCGACCCATCCAAGCCCCAAACCTTTACTCGTTTGAGGTCCTTCAGACTGTAATTACAACCCCAAATTTTCAGCCCTCTGCACCAGTTCCACGTCGGAGGTCCAAACTACCTTATCCCCATATCTACACCACCTCTGAGATGTACACATTAGCCCTTGGCGACAGGCCAGCTCAAGGCTGGGCTGCAGAGGCCACCGAAGCCCATGAGGGCCTGCATGCCTCCTCTGGCTTCTCTCGAGCCTTCATTAACATTCAGGCCGTTCCTCAAGCCATTCCTCATAGGCTGTGGGGACGCTAAGATATGATCTAGCCTGACTGAGCAGCATTAAAATCAATTAAAAATGAGAGATAAGCCTCTCCTTCCCCAGTTGGAAAAATCCGTAGGAGCAAAAGAAAGCCACACACGGCCCCATCCATCACCCAGGGCTCTGGTCCCCCTGGCTCTTTTTTTTTTTTTCTTTTTCTAGACAGCTGCAGGGCAGGCCAGCTAAGCAGAAAGGTTTTCCGGTGCTGAGCTGTAGATGCCACTCCGATGCTGTCTCAGCCCAGCAAAGTCTTAGCTGCTGACAGGGCAGTCCCACTGTCCTGTAGCTTCCAGACAGCCTGACCAGTGACCATAACTGGGGGCAGTAAAGAGCAGCCAGCGGAAACCCGGAAAACTGCCCTTGAGCCAGAGTCTTTCTTTCTAACTTCTTTTCATATTCTTTGTGTCTTTCAAAACACGTATTCCATTCATTTCCCCGTCCCTCATATCTGCCATCTGCCCTTGCAAACCGCCCCCTCCCGCAAAAATAAAATAAAATTTAAGGAAAAAAAGGAAAAGAAAAGAAAAAAGAAAAAGGAAAAATCAGTCTCATTATGGAAGCTGTAGTGGACACACTGAGTCACACAATAAACCCTTTTATTCCCAAATATCTCTACTTACAAGTGTTCATTGCAAAGAGTCGTTGGTCTGGTTTGAGGCCTCTGGTGTCTCCTACACTATTGGTGCTGAGCCCTCACTGGGACTCTTCTTGGATAGTCTGTTTTTGCCCTGTGTTGCGGAGATTCTACAGTTCTGGACCCTTCACATTCTCCGACAGATCACAGATGGGGTGGATATTGGGGTAGGCAAACTCCTAAGCCAGGGTTGGCCAGCCTGTCCTCTCTCCCTCGTCTTCACCACCATCGCCCTGGTGAGCTCTCCAGCATTGCCCTGGCTCATTCATCCCTTGCAGCCATGAAAAAGGGGGTAGGGGCCGGTCCTCAGGGCCGGTTCTCCCACACCTACACCTTTAGGGCCCACTCTACCGTGTTGCCAAGGACTGGTGTAGGGGCCACTCTCCCACGGGCTACAGCTAATGAGGGCTAGGGACAGCTCTCCTGCTTGTATGACCTCAGGGTCAGGTCTCCCACCTGCCTCAGGTGTTGATAGGTGGGGTGGGGGTGGGGGAAAGAGGGAAAGCATCTCTCCCCAGCCCATGCTGCCACATGACACTGGGTCAGCTCTCCCATGTTCACAACTTCAGGTCTGGCTCGCCTACATCCCTGCCAACAGGGTTGGCTCTATGGTGGTGCCCAGGTGAGGTGCAGGGCCTGCTCTCCCGAGTGTTGTAGTTAGTGGGAGACAGGGTCAGCTCTCGGGCTCTTATGACCTCAGGGTCAGCTCTCCCACCTGCCCCAGGCACTGGTGGGCGGGGGTGGGGGGTTGATGTCTCTCACCCATCCATGCATATGGCAAATGAGGGGTAGGGCCGGGTTTCCCATGTTCACGGGTCAATAGGGTCAGCTCTGTTGTGCTGTCCAGGCAAAGTGCGGGGTCCACTCTCCTGCACGCTGCAGCATCAGGTCCCTCTCTTACCACAGGTGGCAAGGATGGTGGGACGTCTTCCCCTTGCTGTCACCACCACATGGAGGACGAGGGAAAGTGTGGCAAACCATAGTCCTTAAAGGCCTGATACCAGCTCCCCATTCACTACGGGCCTGGAATTTAGACCTTGGGGAAACTGGGTGTTTCTAGCTCACCTTCCCTGTCCCTGGAGAGCTGTCTAATATGAGGTTTCTCTCTGATTCCTCCTCAGATGATTGTGGATGTTTGACAATTGTGAAGTGTGGAATGTGTTCCGGCTCTACCGGGTTTCTGTGTTGCGGTTCAGAGAAAGCTGAGAATTGACTGAGGAGTTCAGAACTGCCGTCCATGCGAAGCCTGTGGTGGAGAAGGGCCTGGGAATGCGGGAGGTGGGGCCGCTCAGCTGATGTGTGAGGTTCTGGGTTCAACCCCCAACTCTAGAGAGGACTTCCTAATCGCAAGCCAGGACCTCTGGGCTCTGAAAGCTATGTCCCCTGTGTCATTTGGAGCCCAGAGCTCATTGTTCCTTGAGTCATCTGGCAAATATTTGAAAGCTTTCTTTTAAGGACTTCGGAAAGGGAGAATTTGAAAATGTATTAACAACGTGGTGCCTCATTCCTATAATCCTAGTACGCAAGGCAGGAAGATTACAGTAAAGTTGAGAACATCCTGGGCTACATGGTGAGTTCTATGCCAGTCTAGGGTATAGAGTCAGATAATAACACACATACACATACATGCATGTGCACACACACACACACACTCAAACTCACAAAGACAAAACTCTCCCTCAAATAAATGAAAACGCCTAAGATTTCTGATTAAGAGAGAGAGACAAGCTGTCCTGTAACTCAGGCTTACCTTAAACTGTGCAGCTAAATGACCTTTGAACGCCTGACCCTCCTTCCTCCACCTCCTGCGGGTTAGAATTACAGGTGTGTAACACTGTGAGCAGGTTCCTAAAATCTCTTATTTTAATAGATTGTATTTCTCAATATTTACCATGTTGGCAATTGAAGCTGGGCATATTTCAAATTATTTAATAACTTATTTAAAACAGTAACATGGCCACTATATGTTAATATGAGTAAAATATGTTTATGAAGAGGTATTTACTCAAACAGAAATAGTGTGTGGAATAGTTTCAGTGAATGGACGCTGACAGCTGCTTCCCCTTTAGTCCACTGCAATACCTCAAGCCCCTTGGATTCTAGAGCATTCCCTTTTATTATCTGAATGAATGAGAGAGAAAAGTAGGTAGAGAATATCTTAGTTTTTGTGTTGTGTTCTGTTTGCTTGGAGACAAGGTCTCATGTAAGCTAAGCTGGCCAAGGACAACAATGAACTTCTGAGCCAAGTGTCGGGATGACAGATGTGTGCCATCACATCTGAGTCTTTAGTTTGTTTTGTCTTAGCAGTCTTATATAAATAGCTTCTAGCCTCAGAACTTCCGATGACATTTTCAGGACTCCCTAGGGACCTTTGTCCTAACCTAGATCTTGAACCCATGGACCTGCCTTTTGCAAGGAAAGGAACACACCCGCTCTTCCGTGGATGTCTCCTGTAGTAGGTTCCATGCCCTCCCTAGAATGGGGCTCAGTCTCTGTTTATGACTGTACAATGCACAGCTTAGATGACAGAATTGTATTTCACATGGTCTGGAAGCTTCGTCTCCCATTATGTCAGGGCTGCCCAATATAAAACATGTTTCTGGTTGCTTTCTTGCTGTGCCCCACATACAAAAACAGACAGACAGTCAGGCCTCGAACTACAACCTTCTTCCATGTCTTTTTGTACAAGCACCACACCCCCATGGCGAGGGTCCTAGCTTCACGGTTTCTTCTAAACGTAGTCATCTGTCCCAGGCCCCCCCTCCAAGTACAGAGCATGTGGGGCTAGGGCATAATAAATAGGGGAGGGCCACAGGCTACATATCAGATCCTAGATTATGATGAAACAGAACCATGCTTAGAGCCAGGAGTTGAACAGTACTTGGACTACATGTCAGGTTCATCATGGCCCACTGGGTGTATTTCTTCTGGGGTCTGAACTGGTTTGACCCCAACAGTCATGGCATTGTGCCCTAGAGGTCATCTGGATGGAACACTTTCTTTCCCTATACAGTGTGTCATCAGGGTAGTCCCCTATACCTCAGTCTGTCCCCTCTGATACTTTTTCTAAACACCATCTCTCTCTCTCTCTTGAGCTTCTGCCACCAACCTGCATTGGGCCTTGTATTTCCAAACCACGCTCCACGGGAACCGAAGGAAGCCTTGAAAACACAGACCTAAGCATGATGCTCATTTGCTTAAAGTTATGCAGTGGAGTCTCCCGCTATGCATAGGCTGAATAACAAGCCTGTAAGCTGTCACGGCATTTCATTTGTATTTTAGTAAATAAAACTTGCCTGAAGATCAGAGAGTAAAACAGCCCCACTGGTCAGCCTTACAGACCAAGCAGTGGTAACACATACCTTTTAATCTTAGTGGCCACACTAGTTGCCACAGAAATGGGGCGGTGTGTGCCTTTAATCCCAGTGGTGCACACCTTTAATCCCAGCCCTAGAGAGGATTATAAAATGGAAGGAGACAACTCTCAGACACAGTCTCACTGAGATTCCTGGAGGCAGGATTGCCCTTTCGGACTGAGGTCGAGGTAAGAGCCAGTGGCCAGCTGCTTTGCTTTTCGGATCTTCAGGTTGAACCCCATTTCTCTCTCTGAATTTTTATTAATTGTGTATCAGTAAATTCCACATCCGCCTAGGTACCTCTCACTCCATGCTCTCTAGCTCTTGGTCTCCGGAGCTCACTCCCTTCCTGAGCTGTTCCTTCACCTAAATTCTCTTGTCACCTTCCCACCCTCTTTAATAATCCCTACTCTGTCATCGGATCAAATGTTGCTTTTCCAGAGCCTTCCCTCTCTGCTCTGTCTAGGTCCCTTTCTCCTAATAGAGGCATTTATAAAAATTTTAAACTATTGTTGTGATATCTGACCAATATCTAATTATCTACCAGACTGAGAAACTCATGGAAGACATTGGACATTAGCCCACCTGCTGCTCCCACCCCTCTCCCTGGGATCCATCATTGGGAATGTGTGTGTGTGTGTGTGTGTGTGTGTGTGTGCGTGTGTACACTCCACAGCACACATGTGGAGGACAGTTTGTGAAAGTCAGTTCTCCCCTTCCCTGATCTAAGCCCAGGTTGTCAGCCTTGGTGGCAAGTACCATTACCAGCCAAGCCATCATTCCCATCTTTCATCTTTTTCTTCGCCTTTTTAAAATTTTTAAATTTGTATGTAAGAGTGTTTTGCCTACATGTATATCCATGCATCACATGCATACCTGGTGCTGGTAGAAGCCAGGAGAGAGTGTTGGATTCTCTGAAATTGTAGTTACAGATGGTTGTGAGCTACCAGCTAGCTCTCCAGGCCCCTTATATTTTCTCATCTCTTATCATCTGCCATCCGCTAAGAGTATGATAAGAATGTGGCAAGATAGGCAGACGGCCTTATCAGGTTCCTCTTTCCTTTTTTCCTTCCTTCCTTGTTTGTTTGTTGAGACAAGGTCTCTCTGTGTAGCTCTGACTATCCTGGAACTCATTATATAGACCAGGCTGGTCTTGAACTCATAAAGATCTGCCTGCCTCTGCCTCCTGAATGCTGGGATTAAAGATATGCACCACCATGCCTGGCATTTATTTTTAATTTTTACTCTCATTTCATTTGTATGTGTATGGGAGTTCTGTCTGCATATATATACATCACGTTTGTGCCTGGTGCCCAGGGAGGTCATAGGTGTCAGATCCCCTGCAACTGGAGCTACACATGCTTATAAGCTCCCATGTTGACGCTGGACATCGAACCTGGATCTTCTGGAAAAGCAGCCAGTGCTCCTAACTGCTAAGCCACCTCTGCTAACTGCAGGTGCCTCTTTCTAATAGCTCTTCCAGACCCCGAAACTCCACAGTGAGGAGCAGGGGAGAAGCTGAATCTCAACCTTCACCAGAGATGTCTCCCTGATGGGTCTGCTCCTGCAAACACGGCTTTTCAGTAATGCATAGAGCTATTAGCAGCAGGCAGAGGATAACTGGCTCCCTCCCAGCCATCAAAGCTGCCGCGGGGGTGGGGGTGGGGGTGGGGAGACAAGTGGGTGATCAGATTTCATGGGCTCTCTATAATGGCTGCCTGGTATGAGATTAGAATGGGCTGTTTCATGTCCAAGGATGAAAGCAGCAAGGATTTGGGAGAAAATCCGGCTTCCCAGAGAAATCAAAACGTTCCTATTTCATTACAAATGGATGCATGACACCGCTAATCACTCCTATGAGAGGCAGCGCTGCAGGACCAGCTGTCTATAGCAGCAGCTCCCTTCAGAGGCCATGTAAAAAGTGTAGGATGCAGGATTAGAGAAGCCACGTGATTTCCTTATGTCCAGGGTATCTCCTGGGATGTCCTGAATCTTGGGAAGATTGCCTGCATACAACCCTTGCCAAGGTGGGCACAATCCTCTCAGAGGTAAAGCCAAGACCGCCGAAGAGGAGGAGGTGGCTGCAGCTGCCAGCTGTCGTAATATTAATAGCTCCTTGTTCTATGCACATTCGTGCATCTAACCCTTTGCGTATAGCACTGATAATCCTTGCAGCAACTGGCAGTATATTATTAGATCTTCCTACAATGAATGGTGTGCGGTGGTGCACGCCTGTAATCCATTGCACAGGAAGCTGAGGCAGGAGGATGGAGAGTTCCCAGGTCAGCCTGAGTACGTAGTAGTAAGACTTTGTCTCAAACAGCAACAAGAATAAGATCTTACTATTTTGAGGAAACTAAGGATCTTAAGGCATGCCAGAGCTCAGAGTGAACCCCTAGGGCTATTACGTTCTACTGTTTTCTTGAGGCTCTCCAGAAGTAAAGCCAGCAGTAAAGAGGAGAATCCCTAGAGAGTCATTCCATGAAAAATGTTTCCATCACATGAGAAATGAGAGCATTTAGCCAACACCACTATGAGAACTGTCTCGTCCGAGTTCAGCGGCTGCCCCTCCACCCAGCCTTCACTCCTTATCTTCTCCAGGGGGTTTTAACCTCTGGCTGGGCATACTACAGGCTGAGATTCAGAGGTCTTCTGACTGCTGGCTATAAGTCTAGGAGGTGCTCAGTCGATGTGGGGAAAATGGTCCTTGTGGATCAGATCAAGTGCTCACTTCAGCTGCTGGGCCCAGCTCTTCCTTCCTCTGCTGTTGTTTACCCAGCCCCAGCCTCTGCTCAACCTAGGGATCACAATCCCTTGGGGATTTTAAACAGCCCTCCCATGGGAGGAGTCACATATCAGATATCCTGCCTAGCAGATATTTACATTACGACTCCTAACAGTAGCAAAATTACAATTATGGAGGAACAAGAATTAATTTCATGCTTGGAGGGTCACCACAGCATGAGGAACTGTATTAACAGGTCTCGGCATAAGGAAGGTTAAGAACCACTGTTCTAGAAGATCTTCTCCACTTCCGCATTATCTCTGTATTAGATGCTTCTTCTAGCGGCCTGCCACAGCACAAGCAAGAACCCCACTCAGTGACTGATCTTCTCTGGCCTTGTGAGATGAGGCCCCATTTCACCAAGGACCTAGGAACAGCATGGGGCTGCCTGCCCTCACCTCCCATGTGATCTCTCCCCATGTCCTCCTTGACATCGTGCCCAACACAGACCCCATTAGGGCTACTGATGAAACCAGGCTTCAGAGTCCTGAGCAGGCCACATTGTCTATTCCTCTGCTCCTAGACTTAAGGGATCCTCTCAGAGGTCGCTGAGTCAGGGGCGGGCGCTCTCAGCACCTGCAAGCATGAGTCTCAAGGGGACTAAGGTAATAATTTAGTGATAGACCTTTGCCTTGAATGCACAAAGCCCCGGCTTTAAAACCCAGTGTCAATTAGTAAATAAAAAGGAAAGAAAAGGCAGAGTTCAACTTAGCTTTTTCACACTGGACACAAATTTCAAAACAGATTTTATAGAGCTTGAACATGAGCATGCCAGTCTCTCTGCCCGGGCATGAATGTATCTTTGTCCTTGACAGAGTCAGGCCAACGATGCCACCTGGAAGGCGTGGCCACCTGGCCTTTGTGTCAGACCTGACTCTTCAAGAGCTAGACAGTGTCTGGAGGATGTCTGTGCCCAGGACGTGCACAGGGAAGGTGCTTTGAGTGCAGTGTTAGACACATTAGGGTTGGAAGAAGCGAACAGAAGCGGGACTGAGGTCTGGCCATGTGAAAGGTGTCTCGGCAAGCCAGTGGCTTTGGCAAAGTAGCGTTGGCAAGGAGAAAGAAGCTTAGCTGTGCTGGACTGTCTCAGACACTGGTAAATATACGCATGCAAATTGTGGGCCTGTGTTAACGGTTCAGAGTTCCCTTCCCCGGAAAGTCCACTACCAGGTTTCGTCTCCTCCTTTCCCTATGTCATCAGCCACCTACCCAGGGCTAGCAGGGCTGTCAGTACCCACTACACACTGTGCCTCTGTGAAACTTGCTCTCCTGGGGATAGAGTGAAGACAGGTCGGAGAGGTGCGCGACCCCGAACTAGTTGCCGGCAGCACAGCGCGGAACCATATTAAATGCCTGCATGGGCACTTGAATCTCTGCCTGCATCCAGACCCAGAGACTAACTAACCATTTCCTGTGGAGCTGCAAAGAGCTGCTGACTCAGTGCCCTCTCAGGGCCCACGTGGCCTTGCATGACTGAAGTATCCTGACAGTGACAGCGCTTTCTCATACAGGCCGTAAGTAGATAACAGCCCCTCTTCTCCTGCTCACCAGTCACTGAGGGCCAAAGGTTCAGGCTTCCTCACCGGTCCTCCTCATGTGGGCTCCCTCTGGCTCAGGGTTTCTCTCTCTCTCTCTCTCTCTCTCTCTCTCTCTCTCTCTCTCTCTCACACACACACACACACACACACACACACACACACACACACACACTTTGGAGCCTGTCCTGGAACTAGCTCTTGTAGACTAGGCTGGCCTCGAACTCACAGAGATCCACCTGCCTCTGCCTCCCCAGTGCTAGGATTAAAGGCGTATACCACCACCGCCTGGCCAGGGTCCCCTCTCTAACTCCTCCCCAGCCCTGCCTCTTGTTGATGATGAATGCTCCCCTCTGCTAGGCTCAGTCACTGGGCTCACAAGCTTTGTCTGGCCTCAAGCCTGTGGCCTACTGTGCGACGCTTCCCTGGCCCTTTCTACGGAGCTCCCATCCACCTCCACAGTGGTACGTTTTTTCCAATTCCAGTTCATATGTGTTTGTTTGTTTTGTTTTTCCTTTGACAAATATTTGCTATTAGGGTATGTGCTCCACACCTATAATTCCAGCATCCAGGAAGCTAAGATAGGAGAATAGTGAGTTTGAGGCCAGACTGGTTAGCAAATCTTGAAGGAACCTCAATTAACCTCCATAGCAACGGTCTGTATGCAACAATTTCTTTCTCATTTAACAATTGATGTAGAGAGGGCCACCCCACTATGGGTGGTGCCACCCTCGGGCAGGTGATCCTGGGTTGTATTAAAAAGCAAGCTGAGCAAGCTGTAGGGAGCAAGCCAGTGTGCAGCCTTCCTCCACGATCTCTGCTCCAGTTCCTGCCTCTGGATTCCTGCCTTGAGTTTCTGTCCAGATGTCTTTTCATGATGGATTGCAAGTTGTAAAACAAAATGATCCCGTTTCTCCCCAGGTTGTTTTTGGTCTTGATGATTATCACAGCAGCAGGAAGCAGACTAGGCGACCTCGGAGTGCTCTTCTGCGTGGAAGGTACTTGTGAACCAGAGCTGAGCCCTGGTTGGCCTAGTTCCCGGAATGGCGAAAGGACTGCACATGCAGGAGCGAGAGTCCCAGGACACTTTGATGTCTCTGGCTTGTGGCAGGAGGCCCTGGTTGAGCAATTAACTCCAAGAAAAGAATAAACAGATGTGCATGTAACCAGGGTAAATCATTCCTTCTGGTGCCCATGTGGGCTCGGTGGAGCCTTCTGTGAGGTCTGAGGGGAATCCTTGTCAGGAAGACTAGAGGAGACAATGGAGGGTCCCAAAGAAGGAAACCTTGAGCACAGTCTCCACTATGGACAGGGGTTTGCCTGGAGCTCTCTAGACTTGGTTACAGCCTTGGGCACAGTCTCCACTATGGACAGGGGTTTGCCTGGGAGCTCTCTAGACTTGGTTACAGCCTTGGGCACAGTCTCCACTATGGACAGGGGTTTGCCTGGAGCTCTCTAGACTTGGTTACAGCCTTGGGCACAGTCTCCACTATGGACAGGGGTTTGCCTGGAGCTCTCTAGACTTGGTTACAGCCTTGGGCACAGTCTCCACTATGGACAGGGGTTTGCCTGGAGCTCTCTAGACTTGGCTAGTGATCTCTCCCATGCCGTGCACAAGGCAGACCTAGTTGCCCACTGGAGAAGAAGGCATGTCATGATGTCCATCTCTTCCCAGGGCGATGCTTGCAAGCTTCCGCCAGGTGCACAAGTCCCTGTCTTCACAGGTGCTCAAAAAAATCAATGAAACTGGGTCCTCTAAAACTGTATGCCGGTATGTCTCTAGACTCAGTCACAGGCAAGTATGACTTGAGCGCCGTGCTGGGTCCCACAGGGGGCTGGGCACTTTCACATGCACCATTATACGACAGCCTCACTGGCCTCATTATCTTCCAAGGAACTGGGCTATTTTCAAGTCGGTTTTGGATTCACCCACCCATCTCAATAGCCAGTTCTCCACCCAAGGACATTGCCTAGCCTGGCTCCTCTTCCAATGCTGTGGGTGTGAGTAGAGCCTCCCTCGTGCTGGACAAGTGTTGCTGAGTGACAACCTCAGCTGTCTTAACCACCCTTCTAGTGTCAAAGGCCCTTTCTTCCAGAAAACCTGCCAGGCCTGTCTTTCACCATTATGTAGTCCTTTACCCCCTTGCTTAGGCCTTTGGCCCACATTCCTGTCCATAGTTATAGCTACTGCATACCTGGCTCTGTACCAATCTTACAGGCCCTAGGTCCTCCTCACCCTGAACCCGTACCTAATGAATACGCAATAGTAGCAGCGCTCTGGCCAGGCCTCTCCGAAAACTAAGACAAGAAATTAGGGCTGGGGCTGCAGGAAGACACCATCAGAGGAAGGACAGTAAAGTTGCTTGAGATGGGAACGGTGTGTAGTTAGAGACCAGCACTCCAGGGAAGGACTCCGGAGCAGAAGGGAACTTCACGTGGGAGATGTCTGTGATTTCAACTTCCACACTAACCAGAGACCCTGGAGGTTGCCCCCAGCCTGGAGAAGACCTTGCTTGCTTCCCCTGGAAGCTAGCATGAGATTGCTTCAGTTGAAATACTCCACCACCCCCCTCCCCACTGTGCACTGGGAGAAGGCTGTTCCCAAGGGCAAGCTGGTCAGCTGATTCCTAGGATTCCTGAGGTCAATGGGGGAGTTGGGCTTTTTTGGTTACTCTGTGTTTTACTAGAGACACACTGGTCATTTTTGTGCAATCATACCCAGCACCCATCGCTTCCAGTCACAGAGTGTTCTGGGCATACCCTCCTCTCTGGCCTTGGAGACTGCTGCTCAGAACAGAGGATGCACCCAGAGGTGTGCAGTGCATGGACCCTGGAGATGAGCCTCTCACAGACCTAGATCACAGATCACAGAGAGCAGGGGTGTCCTCTGCTGCCTGGACTCTAGCTGGGACTACCTACATGATTCTCGTTTGTCTAGGTTCAGGACTCTCATGAAAGCATACCCTCACCCCTGCTGCTTATTCTGTCTCGAATTCAGAGCCCATATATGCCAATCATGGTGGGGACCAAAGAACGTGAAGACCATGGGGCTCTCTAGGAGCTTGTGGTAGAGCCAATGATGGCAGCAGAGCAGGCATTCCATCTGACAGAAGGGACTAGCTCCTAAGGCTACTGGGTGCTGCTGCCTCGAGGTAAGAAATGGTCATGAAGACAGGCAGTGGTGGCACACGCCTTTAATCCCAGCACTCAGGAGGCAGAGGCAGAAGGATCTCTGTGAGTTCGAGGCCAGCCTGGTCTACAAGAGCTAGTTCCAGGACAGACTCCAAGGCTACAGAGAAATCAAAAAAGAAAAAAAGAAATGGTCATGGTGTGGAGGAAGGCTGAGCCTAGGGAGAGTCTTGGAGGTGTGACGGTTTAGGAACTGATTACAATAGGGCCTAAAAGGATGGGTAGATACAGGAGGCAAAGAAAAGTGTATCTTCAGGCCTCTTCTAGCACACATAGGATCTCTCCAAGAACTATACAGCAAGCAAGGAACCCATGTAGTAGAGTGTAAGAGCATTGGGAAGAGGATACCCCGTGGTTGTGGACACATATGATCCCCAAAGACTATGCAGCAAGCAAGGGACCCACCTTATAGAGTGTAAGAACATTGGAAAACACATGGTTGTGTCTCCACAGTTCCAAGCATGATGTTCTGCTTTGCCTTCTCCTGGGCCAAGCCCTGCCCCAGTGGCCATAGCCTTCGCATGACACCATCAACTGTGCCTTCAGTCCTGTCACCCGCCCTTCTTGAAGCTCAGAATGTCCCTCAGCAAGGACAGTGACCCAGCCTGGAGGGTTAGATTCATCACATGCCTCCCATGTTCCAGCACAGAGAAAAGAACGGAGAATCTGAGGCCCACGCCACATGTGTTTGACTCCCTGATGCATTTGGGCAGTTCATTCCTTATCAGTTCCCAGCCCAGTCTCTTGACTTGGGGGGTGTAGGAGGGCTGGGACCACCTTGCGACTGCTGGTGAGATTTGAGGATATTTAAGGATCCAGGCATGGTGGTACCTCCTTTTCACAATTCCAGCACTCAGGAGGCTGAGGCAGGAGGATCAGGCATTCAAAGGCATACCAGGTTGCAAAATGACACTCTGTCTAAAAACAACAGAGTATTAGACTCAGGAGCCAACTACCTGTCCATCAGCCTGCCAGGCAATCAATGCTCACTAAATGCTCGCTTCCCTTGTTCCTCCTTCCTGTGGTTTCCACTGTAGAGGCCTCTGACCGCAGCTACCTGAAGAGCTGAGGTCTGTGTCGGTTGCATGACCAGTTTGAGCTGAGAAAACACATCTCAGATGCTCACCTCTGTGCCCACCCTGAGTAGAAGCACAGAAGAAATGGAAGTCCAGATGGCTAAGAAACAAGGAGAGGCACTGTGATAAGGGAGGGGGGGTACTGTTTGATTCCACCTAATCCCCAGCCTCTTGGGAGTGACTTTATGCTCCACCTCCCTCAACACAGGCTGACCATTGCAGACTGGCCACATTGGCAAGCTGGTGACTGTGCTCTGGAGGTGTCTGAAGCCATCCCCAGGAAACCTTGAACTAGGATAGCCTCCCTCTCGGCTGTAAGTGCAGAGATCGGATCCGGGTCAAGAATCAGTGGGCGTATGCAAAGGCCTGGGCAAAGACTGGCATGTTGGGGCTCATGCAGCTGGGCAGGCTGGTGGGCATGAAGGGCGTGAACAGAGAGCAGCCATGCAGCAGGCCTCCAGATGGGTGGAGGCCACCTTCAGAACCCCAGTCACCCAGCGATGAGTCTGCAGGAATTTTTGAGGCACTTGGGATCATTTCTTAGCAACAGCAGGGCCCTGGCACATGGACCCCAGGCAGTCTAGGTAGCAACAGGGCTACCAGTCCTATGTGTTCAGTGTGTTGTGGCTGTGTGAGAGGCCCAGCTAGATCACAGCTTTGGCCTCTTGGTATACTTCACATCACAGGAATGATGGGGACTCTGATTTGGAGAACAGGGATCCTCTGAACGAAAGGAGAGCAACACAGACTTACACAGAGCTCCCCGGCTCTGCTACCCTATCCCCAACCCATGCTCCAATACCCCACCTTGCCAAGCTTTTGTCTTTCCAGCAGGGACTGGGTCAAATCTCACCAGAGACTGAGACCAGTCCTGGGCAGAGCAGAGAGACACATGCTCAGGCCGTCCCCAGCTCTCCTTGGCAAGCCGAGCTCCCCTTTGTCTCTGATTTGCATAGAAGTTGGAAAGAACACAGAGAGTTCCCGGGTATCCTTCACCCACCTTCTGCTAATGCGAATATCTTACATAACCAGGCACATTTGGCAAAGCGAGAGATCAGCGCTAGAGTGACATTGTCGCCTCAGCTGCAGGCTGCGCGCTCCATGCTCCTTCCCCGCTCGGCTCCAACTCTGTTTCCACTTGGTACTTAGTGATCGGCTCACACCCCATTCTCAGTCCTTCCCCGTGTCTCACGACCTTGGCAATTCTCCTTCTCTCTCCCTGCCCCCTCTCTCACTCCAGAATCTCTTACAGGCCAATCCAGTCCCAAACTTTTAATGTAGCCACGGTTGACCTTGAAATTCTGATCCTCCCAACTCAAAGTCCTGAGTGTTGGAATCAGAGGCAGAAGTCATTATGCCCAGTTTATAGGGAGCTAGGACTCGAACCCGAGGCTTCTTCATGCCTGCTAGGCAACTGGCTACAATCTCAGTCTCCTTGTTTCATTATATAAAGTACAGTGTATATAGCATAGCCACCAAAGGGAGGCGGTTAGAAGACATATCTTTGCTGTTTTGCCCTTTTGTTACTAATTTGCTGGCATTCCTCTGCAACCCTAATGTTGTGCAACCAGCACCACCATTTCCAAAGCGGTTTCATGGTCCCCACAGAAACTCTGTACTCATTAAGCAATGGTTCTGCCTTCCTCTCCTTTCCAGGTCCTTTAAGAGATTCGGAGGGGTTATTACCTCGACCTTTTGACCAAGAGAAAGGGCTCATTTCTGGCCAGAATCAGTCTAAGATTTCACATTGCTCAACTGTCGGGGGACTCCCGCCTGGGCGCTCACACTCCACTAATAGCAGAACGAGTGATTTCTAAGGTAAAAACCATAGAAATTTCATCTGAGCCCTGTTTCTCTAGGAATTGTTCTGGTTACGTGTGTGTGTGTGTGTGTGTGTGTGTGTGTGTGTGTGAGAGAGAGAGAGAGAGAGAGAGAGAGAGAGAGAGAGAGAGAGAGAGAGAAGGCCAGAAGGCACCCTTTGCCTGTCTTTTCTCAGATGCCAACCACCTTGAGTTCATTTGTTTGGGGCCTCTGTTTATTTGTTTGGAATTTGGTTTTAGTGAAATTGTTTCATTTTGAAAACAGTCTCTCACTGGCCTAGAGTTCTGTCTCCAAGTAGAAGAGGGGGGCTGACCAGTGAACCCAAGAAATCTAACTACTGCTTCCTCCTTTTCAGCTCTGGCTCACATGTGCCACCAGGCCAGGTCTATTTCCCATGAATCTGGGGGATCAGACTCAAGCTTTCATGCCTGCAAGGCAACCCTTCTCTAACCCATCATCCCCCTAATCCTCCACTTAGGCATTCTAATAAAGGTAGAGACTCCTCTTTCAACATAGTCCCTGACAGATAGCTCTGGCACTGGTCCAAAGCACCAGCTTTAACCCTTTTCTTCCTGGAGGCCGTAGGGCTTAGGGGCAGGCACTCTCCTTACCAGCCTCAGCCATGGTCTATAGCATCTACATGGCACTGTATCACTGCTACCATCCTGGCTTTGGATTGCCCTCCTCAGCAGGCAGGCCCCAACAGACAGGGACATATTGAATAGATAAAAGCCATCATGGCAAGTATGTGTGCCTAGGTCTCATGCTGTGCCTGAGATAGCATTGTGCCTGGCCTCCCGCCCCCACAATAGCAGCCCTTTGGACTCCCATCTGCAAGGTCTTCAATGCCACGGATTCGGATTCGGGGCATGCGGGACCCGACTGCCCGCTGCCAGAGTCCTGTCACTGGACTCCAGCCACCCGTCTAGACACTGATGCCCTCCAACTGGACATGCTTGCTGCTCGCCACAGCTGCAACCAGGCCCTCAAGCCCTGGCTCCAAATGTCTGGCCAGCCTTCTTCCTGTTGTCTGCTCCTCCCCCACCCTACTGGCTGTGTCTCCTTGTAGGTCAGGCCTCCTCCAGTCAGCCTATTAGCCCTCTGTGCCTGGCTCACCCCCTCCCCCTCAAGCTCTTTGGACGGGTTAAGAGTGAGCGGGAACCCAGGCCTGTTCTTGCTCAATCTTAGCAGAGGTTGCACTTACTATCTGATCTGCCATGGAGCTTCCCTCCAACCCTGCAAAGTCCTCCTCCACCCCAGGACTTCTGCCTTACAGTGTGTGTGTGTGTGTGTGTGTGTGTGTGTGTGAGAGAGAGAGAGAGAGAGAGAGAGAGAGAGAGAGAGAGAGAGAGAATACAAGGCTGTCTGTCTCCACTAGGAGTGGTTGACTGTCTAGACCCCTGGGGTTCCCCCCAGCCAGGCCAGGTACCCCTGAGGCTGGTTTGCCTGAGCAGCCCCTGTGATGGACAGTGGGAACACAGGTGAGGAAGGCTGAACTGGCCTTGAGCTGTTTGCTGCCTCTACTGCCTCAGATAGGGAGACAAGTATCACAGTCTGTCTCCCGAGTGCCATCCTCAGGGAGACCCTAGGTAGCCTTTACTTTGGGGCCACAGCTTTTAACCTCCTGTCTTTCTAAAGCTTCATCCTGAGCAAGGCATCTCAATGGTTCAGAGCACTGGCTTTGGAACCCCAGACCTGCCTATATTTTGCTGCTGTATAACCCAAAATACGTGAAACAGGTGTCCTATCCTTTTTCACACTTCTCCCCTGCACTCCCCCCGCTTTTTTTTTTTTTGAGACAGGATTTCACTGTGTAGCCCCTGGCTGTCCTGGAACTTGCTCTGTAGACTAGGCTGGCCTTGCACTTAGAGATTCTCCTGCCCCTGCCCCTGCCCCTGTCTCCTGAGTGCTGGCATTAAAGGGATGAAGCATGCACCACCTGGCCAGAGATAACTGGGGCCAGTGGGTAAAAGGGCTTGCCACAGAAAAACGCAGTAACCTGAGTTCAGTTCCCTGGAGCCCTTATACAAAGCCCGATGTGGTGACACACACCTGTAATCCTGTGCACAGTACAGGGCAGAAACAAGGGACCCTGCCTCAAAACAAAGTGGAAGGAGCACACCGACTCCCCAGAAATTATTCTCTCACCTCCACATGTAAGCAACATAAGATGACTGTACCCATTCTCTCACAGGCATGCACGATCCACCGATCAGTCATCACCTGGGAAGAAGAAACCTCTACGGAAGAATTCCCAGATCAGATCGGCCTATGACCATGTCTGAGAAAAGGTCCCAGCCCACTGTGGGAGGCACTGTTGTTCCTAGGCAAGCCTGGGGTTGTTTAACAAAGAGAGTGAGCCAGCCAGGGGGAGCAAGCCAAGAAGCAGGGCTCTTCTGTTGTCTCTGCTTCCATTCCTGTCTCAGGTCTCTGCCCTGATTTCCCATCATGTTGAGCTGTTTTCTGGAACTGCGAGATGAAATCGACCTTTTCTCCTCGTGTGGTCTATGGTTAAGGCATTTGATCGCAGCAACGGTGCTACATTAACCTCCTAGGTATTTCTCAGTCAAATCAGTTTCACAGTTAAGATAAACCAAATCATACTATCCTTGCCAAACTAGGGGAGAGCCGGCACAACAGGAATGAGCGCGGCCAGCCTGCTTTGTCCCCCCCACGTGCAATAGGTACCCCGCAAATGCTGTGCTCCTAGGCGACCTCCTCCAATTGGCTTCACTGGCCCGGCCCCCCTCGTACCCTTGATCTGCAAGAGACTTCTACAGCCCATCCCTTCCCAGGCAGGAGTGGCTCCTGCACAGAAATAGCTAGGACAGGCTTCAGTCTTGCAGACAGGACTCAGTTTCTCAGGGGTGGTTGGTTGGTTACCCCATGCAAACAGTAACCCAAGAGCAAGAGTCCAAGCCTGGGCTCTGTGCTTCCAGTGACCCACAGTTCCTCACTGCCTGACCTCACCCGTGGGAAGCACTCATTGAACAAATGCTGCAGATGACTTCTGCTGGCAGTGGGCTTGGAGCTATTTCTGAAGCAGCCAGTGTGGAGTGAGTGGCAGACATCTGACCATCGCTCTGACACCACAGAGTGGCCAGCCGGAGTCAGGAGTGGGCCTGAGCATTTCCAAATCAGCAACTGGGCCTTATGAGAGATGGCGTGGGTGTAAAGGGAAGCGGAGAAACAGATGCACAAAGAGAACTGTGGTCCCCAGCCAGAGGGGGAGACGGAAAGTGGGTGCGGCCAGGCACGCTGGCGCTGAAAGGAGCCAGGAGGCAGGAACCAAACGCTGTCCTGGGCTAGAAGGACAATACAAAGCAGGGCAGGGCCGAGGTGGGTGACCTCTCAGGTGCCCAGAAATCCTACTTCCTTTCACGGGGCATCTTAGCATTCCTCAGGACAGACAATGGAGGCTCCTGGCCAGGCAGCTTCAGAGAGCAGCGCGTGAACACACAGAAGGGATGTCCCTCTCTGTGAAGCTGGACCAGGGCTGGGCGGTGACCCTATCTTCTTGAGTGTGTGGGACAGCCCAGTCTATAACCACACCCTGGGGACAATGCGCACACAGTTCCAGGCAGAAGAGTGGGAGTTGACATCGCGCGACTGCCCACTGTGGATTCTGTGCCTGCTACTCAAATGTGTACTTTGCTAGCATGGTTTGTTCAACAAACATTTACTGGAGGCCGACTAAGCACCAGGGATGTAGCGATGAGCAGTGTAAACAAGGCCCTCGGTCCTCTCATTTATTCTTCTCTTGCCTCAGTCCATGGGGTCAGTGCTAGCGTTCCTGTCTTACAAACAAGGAAGCCAAACTGCAGAGAAATTGAGGAGGCAGACCTGAGGATTCCAACACAACCCTGGACAGTGGGTTTTTCCCTCTGGGATTTGTTAACACCTCTCAGGTCCCAAGAGTCCACGGGTCCCATCTGAAATCCTGAAGCCACCAAAGTGTAAGAGTCGCTGTTTCTTGCCATTTCTGGGGAGGTATGGGGTGGCACATAGCCTGGAGCCCAGCCTACCAACAAAGCCCTCACCTTCCAGGGTCCCATGCTTCAGCCCAGGTCCAGGTGGAGAAGTTCATTGCTCATTTTCTACAGGCCTGTGTGTGAGCCTGAAGAGCTACACTGGGCAGTTCTCTGGGTCCTCGTTAAACGGCAGGTGCTCTTTGCAGCTGAGAAAGCCGAAACTAAAAAGACATAGGAGTGGAGCTGTCTTAGTCAGGGTTTCTATTGTTGTGTTGAGAGACACCATGACCACGGCAACTCTTATAAAGAACACATTTAATTGCAGTGGGTTGCTTATAGTTTCAGAGGTTCCGTTCATTATCGTCATGGCAGGGACTGTGTGCAAGCAGACGGGGTGCTTCAGTAGTAGCTGAGAGTCCTACATCTTGCAGGCTACAGGAAGTCAACTGAGACACTGGGCAGTATCCTGCACATAGGAAACCTCCTAGCCTGCCCCCACAGTGACGCACTTCCTCCAACAAGGCCATACCCACTCCAACAAAGTCACATCTTTTTTAAAAAATATATATATATTTATTTATTCATTCATTTATTATTTATACAGTGTTCTGTTTGCATGTATGCCTGCAGGCCAGAAGGGAACAACAGATCTCATTACAGATGGTTGTGAGCCACCATGTGGTTGCTGGGAATTGAACTCAGGACCTCTGGAAGAGCAGCCAGTGCTCCTAACAGCAGAGCCATCTCTCCAGCCCAAGTCACATCTTCTAATAGTGCCACTCCCTATGAGCTTTTGGGAGCCAACCACATTCAAACTACTACAGGAGCTCCGCCTTGCGTGAGTGGGTACCAGGCCTTAGTGTTCCCTCTTAGCCACCATGCAATATGCCACTGTGTTCTGCTGCCTCACGGTCTCTGAATTCCTGGTCTGCCTCAGGTTATACATCTAAAGCTTGCTGTCCAGCCAGGTCAGCAATACTACCTTTTAGGGGTGTTCCCCTTATTCTAGAGAGGTAAGGGGGGCTTTCTTCCCCAGCATGAAGACTCTCAGTTGATTGGAAGAATAAGCAGGACCTGGGTTCTGGCATTCAGGGCTCTCAGATCCCCTGGTGGGTACAAGAGACCATTCCAAAGCCTGAACATCCCAGTAGCAAACCCCTAAGGGTGTCTGCTTCTCCCAGGTCCATCCCTCTTTGTCCTTACCCTCAGAAATAAAAGAAACAAAACCTTTCACCTGGCATGGGCTGGAGGAGGGTGTATTTCTGTTTTTGCTTTTTTTCTTTTCCCTCTTCCGAACACGAAGCAATACAAAACACGAACAAAAGGATGGGCGAGATCTCTATGCAGGTCCCTCACTCCAGTGTAAGAAGCAGTTCTGGTAAGGAATCGTTCTGGCGATAAACCCACAGCCTCCGCCCACATCAGCGGTCTGCCCCATCTCCTGGAGCCAAATGGTCTCCAGCTGTGCCAGCAGGGGTGGGAGTGGGTGAGGAGTCTGGCAATGCTTGCCTCGCTGGGCTGGGCTCCATACTCTAGCCACACCGTGAGGGGGTTTTCGTGGGGTTGGAACGTAGCTGAGATGGTAGACTACTCACCTCATGTACACAGAGCTCTAGGTTTACTTCCCAGCACCGTAGCAAACCAGATGTGATGGCATGTGCCTGGAATCCAAACGCTGGAGTGCTGGAAGCAAAAGAATCAGGAGTTCAGATCATCCTGGCTACATATTAAGTTTGAAGCTGCCTGGCGGTGGAGGTGCATGCCTTTAATCCCAGCATTCAGGAGGCAGAGGCAGGGGGATCTCTGAGTTTGAGTCCAGCTTGGTCTACAGAGCAAGTTCCAGGACAGCCAGGGCTACACAGAAAAACCCTGTCTCAAAATAAATAAATAAACAAACAAATCAATAAAAAAAATAGTTTGAAGCCATCTTGGGCTACGCGTGCCTTGCCCTGTGCCTGTCCCTAGCTAAAGCACTTCCTAGTGACACGCGCCTCATTAAGTCCCTTCCCTCTAAGAGTCCTCAGGTACAGTTCAGACCCTCCAACGTGGCCAAGTGACAAGACTCCATGATCCAAACCCAGTTTGCTTTCAAGTGTGACCTGCAGTTCTCCAGGACAGCCGCAGATTCTTGTGGTTGGTACCACAATGTGTTTGAATGGCTCTTCCTCTGCCAGGCAGTCTTTTCGGTCTCTGCATGCCTTCTCTCCCCAAGAGGTACCCCAACACTGGGATTGCTCCGTTGTGCTTTGACCCTTCCTTGTCTTTGAGAAACATACGATTTCGCCTCATGACACGGTAACCTCCTCCCAGAATCATCTTTTTAGCCTTTGGAGCCTGTCCTGGAACTAGCTCTTGCAGACCAGGCTGGCCTTGAACTCAGAGATCTGCCTGCCTCTACCTCCTAAGAGCTGGGATTAAAGGCTTCTGCTACTACCTCCCAGCACCCCACAAGCTTCTTATTCATGACATCTGGAAGCTTTTGGGGGACAGACAGCAAGAGTGATGTCTTCCTAAGACTTACACTAGTAGGATTCTCTGGGGGATAGGACATTCTGGGTCCCCAGCATCTAGCATAGGACCTAGAACAGACAAATGCTTGCTTGATAAGTGTTTGTTGATAGAAAGGGAAAAAAAAAAGAATAAACAGTTCTCTATACTTGAAACCTCAGATGTCCCTTTTTGTCCCCATCACAACGATGTCAGTAATGGACAGGTTCTACTGTGCAGGGCTAAGGGGGTACACAAAAGAGCATGCCCCTCCCAATTCTTCAAGCATAAAAGGCTATAAAAGGCTACATGGTTGTCAGGAATACTGCAGTGAGTTCACTGATGGCCCCTGGTAGATTAAGGGCAGACAGGATATGTCTCATCTTCCCTTGCCTCCTGGAAGCAGAGCTGCCTAACCAGAAGGCTTTTGCTCTCTCCAGTGAACTGTGTAGAGTCTCCAGTCACACAAGAGACACAGTGCCCTCTCTACTTTCCCCATAGCCACATGGCCCCCATGCTGCCAGGCCAGGCTGCCTGTGGTCACACGGTATTCGTAGTGGCATCTTAGTTGTATGTTTTAATAATGAATCTTGCTTGAAGACCAGAGGCAAAGCTAAAGCAACTAGAGGTCAGGCAGTGGTGCCACACACCTTTAATCCCAGAATTTGGGAGACAGAGGCAGATGGATCTTTGTGAGTTCAAGGTCACAAGATCCATGCAGAAACAAATCCAGGGGGTGGTGGCTCACACCTTTAATCCCAGTACTAGGGAGTCACACGCTCTTATCTCAGCACTAGAGGGAATATTATAAAATGAGAGGAGAGACAGTTGCTCTCTCCTGCTTAGTTGGCCATCATCGTCCTGCCTTGGTAGAGGTAAGACTTCTCTAGTGGCTTGACTACTTTGCTTTTCCGGTTTTCAGGGTTGAACCAATTTCTGTCTCTGGGTTTTTAATCATGCTTAAGTGACCAGCCCTTACTCCATACAGTTCCATCAGGTCTAGCTTCCCAGGGACCTCCTCCAAGAAGCCATCTCAGATACCTTGGTTACAAATGTCCCTTCTCAGACTCCTGATTCTGTTGGCAGGTGAGACCCCGACCCCACCCCTACCCCCAGGCCTCCACTACTGTTTTGGAGCACAGCTGTCTCTTCTGTGGAGTTCAGAGAAAAGGCTCACAGTGCTGCTGAGGGAATAGTCTAGTCCAGAGCCTGCCACCTGCTTAGAGCTCTGCACAAACCACACTGTGGGACACAGGGGTGGCAGGAAGATAGGGGGCTCTGGTGTCTGCAGTGGTTTGCCTTGGACGTGGCTCCAGCGAGGAGGGCACAGAACAGAAGAGGCCAAGAGTTTCTGGACACGCCCTCTATAGAAAACTTTCTAAGATGTTCTATGGGTCAGCACATATGGTACTAGTGAAGCAAAACCAAATGGGGGCCTTTAGCGTGGAGCTTCTCCACTAAGAGTAGGCCATGGTAGATGGTGTTTCTCAAACTTATTCAACACAGAAGCCCTGGTGTAACGATGCCTTATTTCTTGGAACATACTGTGAAAGAATATTGTCAAAGCTGTGAGTTTATCATCGGGCTTCTCAGAGCACAAGAAGCAACACTCGCAGATGTGCTCGTAGCCTCAAGGCAGGGCCCTGAGTGCTTCCTGTTCACCGTCACCTCAGGGACATTACAGAGTGAGTTCTGTGGATTCAGGCCAAGGGTATCAAGGAGGCTGCAGTGTGACCCCGAGAAGTGTCAAGTCAAGCTGTCTAGTCCAAGGTATTCATCAGGTGAGGCTAGGGTTGTAGTCCAAAGCGTAGACCCAGGCCACCCTGGGTGTTCTGTGGGAAGGATGCAGGAAGTACATTTCCCCAGTTCAGTGAGTTAGCTGTCTTAGCTCCTCTCCACAGGACTCGAGGGCCTAGACCTGGTGGCCTATTCTCTAATGACAAGACAGACGTTAGTCTTTCCATTGTCCGGGTGCTGCTTTACTTTCTGATGGTCCTGTACGCAGGAGCTTGGAAGAAAGAGAAGGAAATGCCTAAACCTATGCAGAAAGAAATCTTCATGACCATTCCAGGGGCTACATGAAGGAGATGGACGTGAAGCTCATGGGGACATTAATGCCCTGGAATGCCTGCAACAGGAGGCCAGTGGGTAATAGGAGGCCAGTGGCACCAGGCAAATGGCAGCCTAGTGCAAGATGATGAAGTACATTGGCTCTCACTGATGCTACTTAACTGTGTATGTGACTATAGGTGGATATGAAAACTCTTCCCTCAGCCTCAGTTTCCCCAAGGGCACAGAGTGGGGATGAAAACAATGACACTAGTGTATAATGTCATTGGAGGAGTCTATCTACTGACTCCCCCCACCACAAAGTCTGGCATGACAAACACTCACCCAGAGCCCAAGGGTGGATTTGGACCGAGGTACTGCCACTTCCTAGCTAAGTGTTCTTGTGTGACCCATTGAACTTCCTGTAGCAGTTTCCTTAACTGGAAAACAGGTAGATAAGTATTTAAGTTAGAATTCCTATTGTTGTCAAGAGACACCATGAGCACAGCAACTCTTATAAAGGAAAACAATTAATTGGGACTTGCTTATGGTGTAAGAGGTTTAGTCCATTATTGTCATGGTGGGAAGCATGGCATTGTGCAGGAAGACACGGTGCTGGAGGGGTAGCTGAGAGTTCTACATCTTGATCCACAGGCAGCAGGAAGAGAAAATGACCCTGGGCTGGCTTGAGCATCTGAAACCTCAAAGCCCCACCCCCAATGACATGCTTCCTCCAACAATGTCACACCTAATAGTGTCACTCCCTCTGGACCTATGTGGGCCATTTCATTCAAACCACCACAATAAGGAACAGTCGGTCACTGAGAAGCTTACGGGAGTTAATCCACGCAATGAGCTTGGAACTGTGTCTTTTGCATAAGCCAAGGAAAGCATGTTAACTATTACTGCTCTGCCGGTAAGACAGCGGAACAGGGACATAACACAACATGAAGTAAAAATCCAGAATCTTAAGTGCTGTGGGCATGTTTCCTCAGGCCATATGAGCAAATTCCTGAAATCTGTGTGGCTAAGCTGAGGTCAGACTTGAGGTCAGAATGCAACATTTGACCCCAGACCTGGGCCTCTGTACTAGAAAAAGGAGTATGTCCCCCAGCAGTCTCCTGATGAATGCAAGGGCTCTGTCCAGCTCCCATGTCAGGCCTGGGGCAGGAACTCCACCCTACCAGACCAAACCCAGCAGCCTAAAGATGCTTCTCAAAGCCCCTCACACAGTACCTCAGAGTGCCTAAGACGGCCAGTACCATCAGTGCCATAGTACCGTGATAGATTTTCTGTCTTAGTGTTTCAGCATTCCCTGTCCAGACTCATCTCAATATCACTACATAGCCTAGGATGACTTTGAACTTAGCCTCTCTCATCTCTAGTTCTCCAGTGCTGGAATTACAGGGATGTGCCACCATGCCCAGCTTAAGCGGTGCTAGGAATAGAGCTCAGAGCCTCTTTCTTATTAAGTTCCAGGACACCTCCATTTAAGATCTCACACTTGGACTGGGGAGAAAGCTCACTGCTGCTATTCCAAAGGACCCGGGATCAGTTCCAGGCACCCATGTGGCAATTCACACTTGCCTGTAGCTCTGGTTCTAAGAGGTCTGACACCCTCATACAAACATACATGCAGGCAAAACACCAATGCGC